GTCTAACAGTCACTTCCTGCTTGTACAACCTCAGGTGGGCCCCCTGCCTGGGGCTCTGACCTCATTTTCCTAGCTGCGGCTGGCAGGAGGCCCAGGCCTCAGATTTGCATCTTGGCTTCCTGGCTTCTAGTGTGGTCCCAGCCACCTCAGGGTTCTCACAGGAATTCTCACCTGTTCTCTGGTCTCAGCTTCAACTTGTGAAGCTTAACTGCACACCGGGCACCCCACTCTGTGACAACTGTCATAGTGAAGGCACATGGTGAAAGGTGGGCTCCACGGATGTGTGCACATGCCTTCAGCTTCTCAGACTAGGACACCAGATCCTGTGCCTACAGCAGCTGGAACCCGTGTAGCTCCCCACGCAGGCCCCACTTCTCTTCTGCTAGATCCCAGAACCTCTCTCAAGTCAGAATAGGCCATCCAAAATGAAGACCAGACCTAGGCCCTGCTGAACTCCGCCCTACTTCCCAACACCTTCCCTTTACGTATGAAATTGACTCGAACCAAATGCTGTTGTACTCCTCCACCCCACCACACCAGCCCACTAGCCCCACTGCATGGGTTTGCTTAGTGTCTCTTCTCTCTCAGATTTAAGTTGTGGGCTCTCAAGTCTGGTCCCACTCCATCCCTACCTCATCAAGGAATACCTCATGTTTTTCTTGCTAAATGGGTAAGGGAAGAGACAAATACATCCAGAGAATGAGAGAGGACCAGGGCAAGAGGAGAGGGCATGGTCACCCGGGCACTAATACCTTCAGGACGGTGACAGCTCCAAGCCCAGAGCTCCTGCAGGGTAAAGCTTCAGAGGCTCCTGTTAGCGGGGAGGGGGGAACAAGGCATGAGACTTCATGACCATACTTGGAGACACAGGTGGACAGAGGCTGTGAGCCCGAAGGAAAGGCAACAGTAAGACAGACTGGAGGAAGCCAGTCCCGAGCTGATGAGAGTGTTCATTTTGTGTTGAGCTGTAAACACCCAACATTTTGTTTTGTGCAGATGAGCGAGAGCAGCAAGTGTGGGGCACAGGCCTTTGAGTGGCAGGAAGACCCTTCTGGAAGGGCTGGCAGCAGCAAGCGGAGACTTGTCTGCCAGGCAGTCCTTTCTCTCGGAGCTGGTGGCACTCCTCTCTGTTGTGGACACTTCACTCTGAGAATATGCCACCGTAACTGGACACCTAACCCAGGAGGCCTTGCCCAAGTCCCAGCTACTCTACAGGACGACTCCACTAGTCTTGAAGGGCGGCATCCCAGGTAAGGCCCTTGAACTCTTTTCACTCTGGGTGTGAAGAGGGCTGCCACCTCAGTAACTCAGCAAGAAGCCAGTGCTGGGGAATGGGAGCTGGGCTGATTTGTGTAAACAGAATCCTCCATTAACACACCCTACACCCCTCCTGGAGGTACAGCCACCAGGCTGCTTAGCTTTTTCCAGTCAACTGGGAGACTTCAGAGGTGCCCCAGGTGCTACACTCGGCCAGCAAAGGGCTTCCTCAGAGTAGTCTTTTCTAGTACACTTGAGAGCCTCGGTAGAGCAGATTGATCTGGTAACAGCAATCGTGACGGCAGTGAAGATGGCACAGAGGTGGAAGGTGATGGGCGAGAGACTGCAGGCCATCGCTAGGTCTTGGAGTTACCAAGCCTTTGAGGGCGTTAGGAGCTGTAATGCCACCTTGCACTGCCTGGCACTGTCTCTAGCTACTGCTTGTGAGGATGCTAGCTGAGGGTTTCACCAACAGCTGAGTGCTGGGCTGTAGGCTACGGGAAGACACCAGAGCAGGGCTCCTCCAGCCTGAGCATCTGGAGTCTCTGGCTCCTGAGGCCCAGGCCCACACCCCTCTAGTTCCCAGGCCTGGAGCCAAAGCCTGAGTCTACCGGTCGGTTTGGCTTCAGCTCTCATGAGCCGAGAGTTACAAACGCAACAGCCTACTCTGACTCCCCTAAGTAAAATGACCCCAGCTAGTTGTTTGACAGCCGTTGCCGAGGTCCCCATGATTAAATGAGAGCCAGCTAAGTGCCCTGAGCTTCTCTCCTAGATGACACCTAGAATACTCCTCAAAGATGGATGTCAAGAAGACACAGAGGATGTCCGCACAAGTATGCGGCTGCAGGAGGGCCGCAGGCCTGACCTGATACCCTGGGTTGATCCACCCATCTACGTGAAGGACGAGGCTACAAACAGCATCTTCACGGGACAACGCTGTGTCTGGAGCAGTGAGTTTTCTAAAGGTTGATATACCCAAAATTCAGATGTAATATACATGTTATGACTCTAAGTCAGTGTTTACCAAGCCCTCAGCAGAGACCTTTCCGGCAACAATACTTCTCCTTGTTCTAGCACATTCCATTCTGTGAGCGGGACTATTGTCTTTGGGTACTAGGTGCGTCCTCAGGTCTGCTTTATCGCCTTTATTATAAATAAAATTATTTATAATTCATCATTACGGCCTTTTTAAGTGTCATACTGCTTTTCTTTTTCAAGTTGGGTTTTGTTTTTTGTTTGTTTGTTTGGTTTTTTTTTTTTGGTCTAAGACAGGGTTTCTCTGTGCAACAGCCTTGGCTGTCCTAGAACTCACTTTGTAGACCTGCCTGCCTCTGCCTCCTAAGTGCTGGAACTAAAGGTATGCACCACGACACCCAGCTTCAAGATTGTTAAAATGTTACACCCAGGACTGCAGCGTCCTCTGGCGTCTCTTAACATCGTGGCCATTTCTGGTTCCTGTACTCAGAACCGCTGCTGCTGGGCAGTCCCTGCCAGGCCTTCTGTGCATATACCACTAACTCTCTGGGGTAGGCCTAGAAGTGGCTCCCCTATCTACTGCAGAGTAGTCCCTCGCCGACCCAGAGCGGTGTCTCAGCACACCTTCGGGCCTGTAACAGGAGCCCCCTTCCTATCGACCGGCTGCCGTGAAGTTCTGACTACTTACCCGTCTCAGTTCCTGTCACGCACAGCAACCCTTTCGTGACTGATGTCCTGTTGCACACCAGACCATTTGCAAATGTAGCTAACATTCCCAGCCCAAACTGTCTCCACCACCAACACCTCCAACCAAGATGGGGATGAAACCCAATTTCACATGAGACAAGTGTCCCACCACGGAGACATAGCCTATTAATGTTGTCTTTTAAACAGAGGTCTCTAGCTTTGGCAAGAGTTGGAGTTACAATTAGGTGTCAGGAATCCACCTCTGGTATCTCCCCCCCAACACACCTCAAGCAAGGGGGTGCCTGCCTTTGCATATTGGGTTCCCTTGTTGGGAACCCAAGGAATGAACTCCATGTCCTTACTGGTTCAAGAGCACGACCCCACTCACTGTCCACCTGCTGGCCTCAAAGGTGCCTGCGGGTGGCTGGAGCTTCAGTCCTTGTGTCAAGTATTAAAGATTCTGCTGACCCTAAGGTCAGGTTGGCAGTGTGGGGGGACAGTGTGGTCTTCTTCAAAATCAGGGAGGGTAGAGTGCCAGGTAGCCCCTAATGTCTGATCGGTTACACTGCAGAACGCTGGAGCAGCACGGGTCATCAACCTGTGAGCTTGTCCCAGGACTCCAGGACCTGCCAAGGACATTGTGGCCAACTGACACTAGACTTTATTCCCACTTGGCTATATGGGAGCTGAGGACATGGCACTGAGACCACAAATGTGGGCGATGTCAAGCCCTTGTGTGTGGAAAAGCTAGCTCTGAGGTCCTCCCCAGGTGACAACGTGACCAAGGATGAGTCCCAAGGTCAAGCCCCGTACAGGCTCTTGCCTTCACAGGGCCTCATACCCGAGTCCCACATTGAGGTCACACACACACACACACACACACACACACACACACACACACACACATGGGATTCTGACAGGAACCACACTAACTCTGCAGAGCAATGAGAATGACGGCTCGTAGCACTGGATCTGCTTTGGGTTTGTCTAAGGTTGGGCTCCACAGGACGACAGGAAGTCCTACAGCAGGGCGGTTTTCAGAGACAGGGAGCTTGAGTAAACTTGTTTATAGCCCAAATCATAGTCACGAGGAGTCAGACAGTCAAGTTCCCATGGGCCCTGGACCAGAGCCGGATCCCACATTTAGAGGCAGCAAGAAGAGCTGAACAGGTGTTCCCAAGAAGGAACAGGGGCTGCCGGAAGGACAGGAAGTCCAGCAGAGGCCCGGCGGCAGGCAGGAGGTTCCAGAGACTCTAGGAGCTATGTCCGTGAAAGTTAGAAAGGACCTATTAGACACTGGTCATCCAGAAGTGTGCTGGGAACATTTACTGGAACAAACCAGTATGATGCCCTGCCTTAGGGCCAGAGGCCACCTGTACCCCAGACATGAGCTGTCACCCTAGCACACACCACCAGGCAAGCAGGAAACCCCCATGAAAGAATGTTCTAGAGTGTCCAAGGCTCCCAGAGTCATTAGTGGCCTCTGGCCTGGATAAGCAGGAGACCAGAGGTTGCCTGGAGGGTCCTACCGGCTGTCCAGTGTCTAGTCAGTGTTCGGAGCTGGGGACTGGAAGAAAGGTAGGGCTGGAGACCATGGAACCTGCCTGAGCCTGCTGGCTGGGAGAAGACTGGGTTAGGACAGAGCCATCCCACCAGGCTGTATGCATACCCTGGACACAGGAGGCTTTGTAAGGGCTGAGCTTGCCCAGCAGCCTTCAGAACAAAGGCCTTCTGTCTGCACTGCAGCTTCCTCTCCTCCGCTCTCCCAGGCAGAGCCCCCAGGCTCCCATCCAGCCCCCCATCACACACACACACACACACACACACACACACACACACACACAGCAGGAACATCCGTGGACCAGTATAGGAGGAGGCTCTGCTGGGGGAGGCATAGAGCCAGAGTCTAAGAAAGAGGTTCAGGGAAACGGCCAGAGCTGTTCCACTTGGGGGAGGCCCAATACTTCCTGTACTTTGGGGCATGTGTGATTATAGCATGGTGCCAACCATACACTACGCATGTCCCAGTGTACCAAAAAGAGGAAGATAAAGGGTCATCAGAAGAGGGCAGCAGCCTAATGTTCCCAGGAACAGCTCTACCATGTATATATAGGTCCCCTCCAAACCTCTCAGGGGATCAGCCTGTTGCAACACCAAAACTGTAGGCAAAAGGGCTCTGGCCCTGGAGGGAACATAGGCCTGGATCTCTGCTCCATGCCACCCGTCTGCTCCTCTGAGATCCTACCCAGACCTCTACACAGATGAGGACATCTTAGGGGTCTTCAATGCCCAGGAGGCAGAACCCAAATCAAGCCAGGCAGAGCGCCAGCCAGCCTGGCCAGCTCCTGCTGACACTGATGCTGTAGCTGACGTAACACCTTCTTCAGACGGGCCTCCTTGGTGCTCAGTGTCCTGATCATCTCGGCTGCCTGTAGGCCTTGGGGTCTTGGTGCCCCATCTTTACTTCTCACCAGTCGATGGGGTCTTTGTGGATGGGCAGGGTTACTGCATTGTTCCCAGGACCCCTGCAGGGCTGCCAACTCCTGCTCGACAGCGTCTTGCAAGGCCTTCCTTGAGTTGCTCCACTCTGGCCCCTGACCTAGGCCTCCAACCTGTGTGAGAGAAGGTACAGATGCTCTTGAGCCAAGAGCAGCTCTGTTCCCAGAATACAGGATCCACGTGCTCCCAGCAACCCTGCAGCCCCAAAGCTCCCACCATAGAAAGCCAGTCCCCCTCCCCCAGGGGGAGGCTAGGCTAGCCCAAAAATGTTTCACCTTCACAAAGCAACTAAAGTCCATGCCAGCAGCAACTGGAACACAGGGACCCAAAACCCAGGGGCTCAGGACTCCTAACCTCAACCTCCGGGGCTCCATTCTCAAGACCTAACCCTGGCTTCAGGATAGCATGGCAGTTTCTAGCCTACCATGCTCCTTACGGCCCTTCAGAACTCAGAGGAAGACTCTTGAGGACATCCACTACTCCAGGACTCAGTGTCAATCTCCTGTGTCTCTCTGTTCCTCCCCTTCCCACTGCTGTCCAGGAGTGGAGTACATGAAGGGGGAGGGAAGCATGTACTACTCGGGGCAGACTCTTTCCAAAGACCCTGTGGGCAGCAGGACTGGGGTGAAGCATAGTAATGAGGTCTTGCCAGCTCTGACCCACTCAGAATACTTGAGAGCCATCCTGAGTCCTGAGTGCTCTGAGTGGGTTCTGCCCTCAGTGTTCAAGAAAGAAAGAAAGAAAGAAAGAAAGAAAGAAAGAAAGAAAGAAAGAAAGAAAGAAAGGAAGGAAGGAAGGAAGGAAGGAAGGAAGGAAGGAAGGAA